AAATTTATAACAGCATTATTCTAGTGGACTGTCCAAATATACATCAAACTGACATCAGCTCTGTCTCTACATTTTCTGATGAAGTGGAAACAAAGCTTTGTCAACCAATTAATACATAAGGGCAGTGATGGCTAACCTTGACCTAGAGCAGGCATAGGCAACCTTTGGCACTCCAGATGTTTATCATACTACACCTCCCATGATGCTTTGCTAGCAATATGGGTGTAAGATAATTGTGGGGGATGTAGTCCACAACATCTGGAGTGCCGAAGGTTGCCTACCTCTGACCTAGGTTGCCTACCTCTGATCTAGGCCTACTTCTGACCTAGAGTCTAAAAGCTACCTGAGCATCATGGAAAATGTAGTCCAGAAACAATTTCTGATGTCAAAGTTAGCCATCACTGCATAAGGGGCTCTACAAATCTTGCCCATTCAATTTATATTTGTTTAAGCTGTTGCCCTTTACCTGCATTGATGATTAAACCCACACAGTTATGTTTCAGTTCTAGAAAATTATACACACAAATAAGCAGCAGCTTAGCTATGCAACTGGAACACATAATATTCAGCTACTTTCATTCACTTCAATTCTCTAATATTCCATTGATAAAATCCAATGTATTCACTATGAACCAATTTCTAACAAAATTGGGAGAAATGGATCCCTGCTATTGTAAAATGGATCATATTGCTGCAGTGAGATTGGCTTAAAATGATCATAACTAAATTGCAACAAATTTCCATGCTACAAGAAAAAATAAAAAAAGACGTCACAAAGAAAGAGTCGGTTTTAAGGGGATGAAATGTCATAGTATGTTTAAGGAACGTTGTGCTTATTATGTGCATCATGGTGACTTAGGTTTAGAGAGGACTTAGAGTTAAAGGTGCATATTGCCTTGTCCATATCAATGGAACTAAATTAACGGAATTCTGAGAAAAGTCAAGTTATGAAGAGGCTCTGCTGATTTCAATGGACAACCAAATGTCAACTAGTGATGTACCGAACGGTTCGCCGGCGAACGGTTCCCGGCGAACATAGCATGTTCGCGTTCGCCACGGCGGGCGAACATATGCGCGGTTCGACCCGCCCCCTATTCGTCATCATTGAGTAAACTTTGACCCTGTACCTCACAGTCAGCAGACACATTCCAGCCAATTAGCAGCACACCCTCCCTAGCAGACCCTCCCACCTCCTGGAAGGCATCCATTTTAGATTCATTCTCAAGCTGCATGCTTAGTAAGAGGAGGGAAAGTGTAGCTGCTGTTCATAAGATAGGGAAAAGCATAGCTAGGTTAGGGATAAGGGTATGCTTTTTTTGGATTTTTTTTTTCTATCTAATGTAAATGCACTTAGTTGTCTGCCACTGCTGCCAGCTTCTGTGTCAGGCTCACAGTGCCCATTTCCTCAGTCAGTGCCACCAATTACATCTGGTGTCACAATAGCTTGGATTTAAAAACAAAAAACTTTTTTCACTGTTATAGATTGAATAGCAGTCAGTTGTCTGCCACTGCTGCCAGCTTCTGTGTCAGGCTCACAGTGCATACTGTGCCTATTTCCCCAGTCAGTGCCACCAATTACATCTGGTGTCACAATAGCTTGGATTTAAAAACAAAAAACTTTTTTCACTGTTATAGATTGAATAGCAGTCAGTTTTCTGCCACTGCTGCCAGTTTCTGTGTCAGGCTCACAGTGCATACTGTGCCCATTTCCCCAGTCAGTGCCACCAATTACATCTGGTGTCACAATAGCTTGGATTTAAAAACAAAAAACTTTATTTACTGTTATAGATTGAATAGCAGTCAGTGTCCTTAACCCCTTAAGGACACATGACATGTCTGACATGTCATGATTCCCTTTTATTCCAGAAGTTTGGTCCTTAAGGGGTTAAAGCGGGTGTGTTACGCTAACAGTGGATACGCTGACAAGTGCCACTAATTAGATCTGGTGTCACAATAGCTTGGATTTAAAAA